CTAAGTCAGTTTTTGTTTTAAAGAATATAACTGGGGCAGGGGAGATGGCTCAGTGGAATAAGCGCTTCCCTGGCAAGTGCAAGGACCTGAGTTCAATCCCCGGTTCCACAAAAAAAGAAAAAAATATATATATAATTGAGGGAAGAATATGTAAAATTTCTGTGAATCATTTCCTAGGACTACACATGAATCTACAATTGCCTCAAAATAACTAATTAAAAAAACATTTTATCTATATTATCAACCTGATAAAGCTGACACAAAACCAGCTGGAAGAAAATAGTAGGCCAACAGTGGCATCCAGACAGGCTGGTACTCACTCCTGCGGGAGGGTTAGCCAGAGCATGGGACCAGGTCACGTGGGCACAGACTGCTTATCTCCCCAAACTTTAATTTCTTGTGCAGAAATGAGATGGTTGTGTAAGTACTGAGTTATGTACCATAGTAGGAAACCACTTAGACTACTTAGTAGCTCATAGAAAGCCATTAGGAGATGTCTTTTCAAGTCACTATGCAAAATTTTGGAAACACAAGTTCAGAGTAGTTTATCTAAATGAGCAGTCTATGCAAATGTAGACAGGGACTGGGCATAGAGCTTGCTCTCTCTCTCTTGCTCTCTTTTTTTTTATTTTTATTTTTTTATTTTTAGGGACATGTCTACAGGGTCTCAGTACTAGATTGGACTCGAAGTGATCCGCCTGTTTACAGCCTCCCAAGAGCTGGGATTACAGGCGCGCGCCCCCACGCCCAGGCTCAATTGCTGTCTCAGTGCACCCTGGAAGGGGGGGCCAGCACAGCAGGCCCTGGGATTGAACCCTTTTCCCTAAGCCTGCTTGCAGGCGCTTTAATCCACTGAGCTATTTGGCCAGCCCCCCAGAGAGCTTGTTCTTTAGTGAGTACAAGAGCAGACTGTTATCCCTCAGAACTGCCATGTCCAACAAAATGAATGTCACACACATCTGAAACAGCATTTAGATTTGCCAGTATGAGGCAGTGTGTCCTACTGGGCCTAGCTCTGGAATAAGACCAGCACTCTAGCCTGGGCCAGTGGAAGTAGCCTGTCCGGGCCTTGGCATGGTCCTTACAGAGACCACGCTACGCTTGGCACGGTTTGGTGACAAAGCCCCCGTGGGTTTTAGCAGCTCACTCATCAACTTTCCGTTCGTTGGTGCAATCTGTTTGTCTGTCTAGATGGCACAGAGCTGTGTCTACCGACTTGCTAAAACAAAACTTGCTGGTCCCCAAAGACGAATCATCCAGCGAGAGCGACGCAGGACTTCACGAAAGCCAGCGAAGTCAGAAAAAAAAACTGGTGAAGAAAATGAGGACTGCCTTTGGGAGAATGCTGCTGCACTCCTGCAGAAGCAAGCCCGCCAGCTCCAGCAGCGAGGACTCCCCGGGCCCCGGGAAAGCCCCCCTTTCAAACGCACAGCGCCTCCTGCCGAGAATTGTCAGGGACCTTCCGAGTCCCCGGCTGTTTACCGCGCCGAGAAGGAGAAAGCGCTCGCCGCCCAGCGGTAAGCAAAGGCAGCCGCCCAGCAGGCCGACCGCGGGAGCGCCGGCCGCAGACCCTGACAGCCACCTGCTGCAATTGGGGCGTCCTCGCGGGGCGGCAGTCCTCAGCAGGCGGCGCCTCACGGCGCCCGCGGCCCGCGCTCTCTGCCCTCGCCTCGAGGCCCGGCCGCCTTTTCCGTTTTGCACCCCGGCGTGCGCCCGCACCCTCCTGCGCCAGCTGAGCCGCCCCTGCAGGGTGGCAAGCTGCATGGACCGTCGCCCGCTGCTCCAGGTCGGACTGGTCGGTGGCCCAATCAGCCCAAAGTTGTTTTCTTCACTTAGTGTCTACGCGTGTGTGTAAATACACACATGATCCTAGACGTAAATATTAAAAAATCAAAGAAAAGTGGGATTCCGTTTTGGGAGAAAGTGGTGATACAGCCCTCCAAATGGCTGTGCGCAAGAGTAGCTGTGCGGGAGAATTAAACGAATGAAGTTATGGTGAGGGAGGCACAAAGGGTGCCGGATTTTCTCATGTCCGATTCTGTTTCTGTTTTCTGTTTTAAGGCAGAGTCTCACTACCTGGCCCAGCTGGTCTCAAGTCTGTGACTTGGGCTTCCACATGCTGAGATGATGGGCAGATGGAGTATCTGAGTGGCTTTTTCTTTTTCTTTCCTTTCTTTCTTTTTTCTTTCTCTTTTTAATGTTGGCAAAACTTCACATTTATTAAAGGTAGGATAAAAATAAGCTCTGCAGAGAAAGTTCGGCCCAAGTAAAAATAGGAAAACAGGGAAAATAATAAAATACACCCGACACGCTGGGCATGGTGACACATGCCTATGGCCCCACCACTCAGGAGGCTGAGGCAGGAAGATCACAAGTTCCAGGCCAGGCTGCACCATACCGAGAAGCCTCATCTCTAAATAAATACTACACCCTACAACATAGAGCTACCATGAAGAGGCACAACAGCGTAGATGGAATACATAAATAAATAAATAATCCGTTATTTTTCCCCTTGTGAACCCTGACCACAGCAGTGTGAAACAGGAAAAGGCTGACTTCAGGCCCCTGCCCCTGGTAATTTTTAAAGAATAGTAACTGCAAGCTCAGTAGCACCTGCAGAAAATATGATTTTTGTGTAGCTTTTTTTTTTTTTTCCCTCAGAATTTTTTTTTCTGGGGGCCAGGAAGATGGCTCAGTGGAATAAATGCTTCCCTGGCGAACATAAGGGTCTGAGTTCAATCCCCAGTTCCGCGAAAAAAAAAAAAAAATTTTTTTTTTTCTCTGTATTTAGGACAGGGTCTACAAGGTCTCACTACATGGATGAGTCTCAGTGATTCTCCTGCTTTCAGCCTCCCAAGTGCTGGATTACAGGCACGCATCACCACCCAGTCTCAATGCGCCCCACCAGCGGGGCTGGCCTGGCGTGCTGGGGATGGAACCCAAGTCCCTGTGCTCTGCCTAAGCAGGTGCTTTAGTTCACTGAGCTATGTGGCTGGCTGATGATTTTAGTTTTATCACTAAACTTTAATATATTACTGGGTTGAAAATTAAATTGATATAAAGTTGTTTTTTGGTTTGTTTTTGTTTTTGTTTTGCGGTACTGGGGTTTGAACTCAGGACCCTGCGCTTGCCAGGCAGCACTTATTCTACTGAGCCATCTCCCCAGCCCTAAAGAAAGAGATTAAGAAGTCCAAGATTGGGCTGGTGAGATGGCTCAGTGGTCTAAGGCACCTACTTAGAACAAGCTAAGCAAAACACAGAGACCGCGGTTCAATCCCCCAGCACCACATGCCAGCCAGCCCTGCCCCCTGGTGGGCTGAGCTGGCCACACACACACTAAATAATAAATAAATAAATAAATAAATAAATAAATAAAAAAAATTAAAAAAAAAAAAAAAAAAAAGTCCAGGATTCAATTGCATGGCTTCCGAATAGAGGAAGACCCTGTCTCTTCTGATGCCATGTGGATACTTGAGCTTGGCCCACACTTCAGGAGAGCAAGTTGAAACTGAGCTTCAGCCAGTAGTGAGCACCCCAGGACGCCCCTGGGGGCTCCTTGTTCCCACTCCACGGGGTTCATGCAGAGGTGGCCACTGTGTGAGCTGGGCTGGTGGCCACTGAGCTCATGACCATGACAAAAGGCAAATGTGTACTGGAGAAAGTACATGGTGAATAAAAGCAAATGTCTGACTTACTGATCTTCTTTACTTTTTTAAAAAAGAATAAAAATAGTAAAGACTAGAAACAATACAGAATTTGACTAAACAAAATGGTAGGAATTCAACAGTGGTTGTTTGTTGCATATCGTTGTCTTCAAATTAGTTGTTCAGATTACCAGATATAAACATGGAAATTGATTAAGAAAATTGGAAAGGAGAAAGTAAGAAATTGAGCATTAACTGCTCATTCCAATGGACCAGCAGGAATCAGCCGTGCAGTCACCCAGGCTGTGCTGTGTATATACATATGCAGTTCTTTCTCCCTTTCTTTACTCTTTCTCTTCTCCTTTCCCTCATCTGAGTTATTCATGCCCTTATTTATTTATTTAGAGTTTTGAGACAGGTCTTGCTATATAGTTCGGGCTGGCCTGGACCTCACTGTGCAGCGCAGGCGGGCCTCCAATGCGTAGTGCTCCTCCTGCCTCAGCCTTCCAGACTGCTGGGATCATATGTGTGAAGCACTTTTTATTTTAACCCAAAAGCCACCAGGCAGCATATGATGCCATCTATCCAGAATTTTTTTTTCTTTTTTTTTTTTTTTGGCGGAACCGGAGATTGAACTCAGGCCCTTGCGCTTGCCAGGGAAGCGCTTATTCCACTGAGCCATCTCCCTGGCCCCAGAATATTTTCAAATAGGAAGAATTTGTTTATAATTGTGACCTTCATAGGTTCTTTTCTTTTTTCATTTCTCTAAGCAACTATACAACTTGATGTAGAAGCAGAGACAGAGGAGATAACTCAAGGAAACACATTCCTCAGGGCCAGGAGAACCACCAAGCGGTTATCTGTGACGTCTCTGCCTTCAGG